TTTGGCCACGAGAGCCACCACTTGTGCAACGGGTCATGAAACTATAGGCACTGGGTTCAAGCCTCGGTGAGAAGATCATCACTTACTGAGAAGTGGAGGTACATCCAGCTGAGGGACGAGTCCCAAATAGAACGAAATGCGCTTTATCCTGGATTTCACTGCTAGTCACCATCCAACAATTAAATACTAATTAAATGCCCAGACATCGTAGAAGCATCTGCACAAGAAGCCAACAGACATGTCAACCTGAATCCGAGCACTTTCCGTCCAATCAATCGATCGACGGGAAAAATCTAAAATTTCAATTAAACTAATTTTCATTTGTTTACTGTTATCTCCTTCTCTAGCAAGTCTTATGTTGGTGAAAGGATTATATACCTATTACTTTTATTTGATAGACCCTAGCTGAACCAAAATCTTATAAAATCGACCTCTCAATTTTTAGCCTTTGAACGATGATCACAAAACTTTTTATTTATGAATTACCGTGTTTTGCAGCATAAAAAACATCACAACACACGTAAATAATATATAGATATATGTATACGCCGATTCAGTACATTTAATCAATGTGCCCTCTGTGCGAATAATGTTGACCTACACACAGTTGACCTTTATACACGTTCATTTTATCTACTTTCTTTTTTTTCACCATATATTTTGACTCTGAATAAAATATTAATTAGAGTAATTCTGCTGAAATAGAAAACCAGCGGCTTACACAATGAAACTTTCAGAATATTTAATTCAATTTAGATTTTTCCCTGTCAATCGATTGATTAGACCGAAGTGCCCTGTCTCAGGTTGATATGTCAGCTCCTTGTGCAGATACTTCAATGATGTCTGGTCATGGGATTTGAGGTCAACTGGTTGATGGTGACTAGTAGTGAAATCTAGAATACGCACTTCGTCCTATTTGGGACTCGTTGTCTGGATGTACCTTCGGTGGGAGCACCATCACTCAATCACTGGGGAATGCAAGTACATCCAAATAGGACAAAATGTGAATCGTGAATTTCACTGCTGGTCATCACCAACCAACTGACGCTGAGAATATTCTTAAAATAATTTTACAATGATTCACTCAGATTTGGCGTTTAAATTGTTCTGAAAAATTCGTAATATAAAAAAGTCTAGCTCTGTATGAACAGTACTGTGCAAATGGCGAAGGTACCAAGCAACAATAATTCTTATGTTTTGATCTGGTTACCATAGTTTATGATAAACTCAATTTTTATGATTTCCTCGCGTCTAGTAATGCTACATGCATTAACAAAATATCTGTTATGTGTGCCAGTGTTTTTGAAATAGGCCGTCTTTAAGGGACCTGTTTTAAATGATAATATGTGGTCTTTATTAGTTTCAGTGTAAGATTAGACATAGAAGAAATTGTATGGAGGATTTAATCATGAGCTGACATCAGTTAGAGAACCACTGGAAAACCTGGGAGTACTGGACAGCTAATTCGTCCTAGTTTGGGACTCCTCAGCAGTACGCACCCACCGGGATTCGAACCCAGGACCTTCTGGTTACAAGGCGAGCTCGTAGACCATTGAGCCACTGGGACCTGATTTAACGGTTCTTGAATTCTAACTTCTGCCAATTCACGACATAGCGCGACCACTTCGCAATGCCTTCCTCGATGAGTTACTGCCTCATCTTCGACCTGCTGTACCCTACTGGTCACGACTTCCCACTAGAACCCCAGGAGTCCCAAACTAGGACGAAACAGCTGTCCAGTACTCCCAGATTTTCCAGTGGTTCTCTAACTGATGTCAGCTCATGATTAAATCCTCCATACAATCAAACCAGATCCCTACAAAACCAACACTTGAAAATAAAAGAAATTATCATCTGTGTTATGCCTATGAAGTACTAAAGCCTGTTTTTTCTTGATAAAAATCTGTTATGGAAGGAACATGTTCAAGTCAAGAGAAACTTGTTGCCTTAGTATTTCAGAAATCAACGAAAATACCCAATGAGTCAGAAAGAAGAAAATGTGAAAAACAACTCAGTGAGGAAAATTTTCGTTATCGACGAAATCATCTTCAGACACTGTACACGGTCATATTTTCATTTACCGAAAATGTATACTAGTCCATTACTGAATAATTACTAAGTCCATACCTAAGTGAGTACTAAGCGGAAGCGGCTTCAAAAGTAAAGAGTAAAGTTGTAAATTACGTAGTACTCAACAACAGCACACTGGAAGAAAACGTTAGACATTTGACAAGGTTAAATTTGTCACTGAATGAAAAGAAAGGTAGTTGAGTGTTGATTTAACAAGTGTGAAGAGGTTGGTATAATGCACAAAATGAACATGTGAGAGTGATAATAGTGAATTCACCATTAAAGTAACAGCAAAAGAAATTACAAGGAACGATTAATGAAGAGGTTAAGACCATGATAGGATAGGAGACTGGACAAACGTTTTCTGTATACAGAGTTTGGAGTTGTATTGACGAATTTGCAACGCCTCCGCCATACACACATCTCGAAACCTGACACCTTTTGTACCATTTGGCGTCACCTTGTAGATAGTCTTGAAAGACGACTCTGATGAAGCTGTGTGGCTTGAGTTCAACAAATACTCGAGAATTGACCTAGTAACTGTTTTGCATTGTCCTTTTGCTAACCATGCAGGATAATGTTCAGAGTTGCATTTGGAGAGTGTGCGCATTTTGCGGCCAATACAACCAGCTCCACAGGAGCTCATCCAAAGTGGCAGTTTATCCTTTACACATACACTGGTTAATTATTGGCTGTAAAAACTGATTCGTAGCTTAGTCGAAAACAAGGCTTTTCTTATTGATCAGCCGCGGTATCACCTTTAAATTCAACGTTCAAAAATACCAGTTTCTCGGGAACCGTCAGGGTTCTTTTGGGTTTTTGCTTTACTTCCATGTTTTTTTCAAAGGATCTTGAAGGATATCCATTTTCCATGATGAGAACTTCTCTGAATCACTCCAGTTCACCATCGATTGTATCACTAGTATATATTCTTCTTATTCATGAGGATGATGAGATTTATCTTTCTTCTCAAATGGACTCAACTATGAAAATGCATGCGTTGATCATTCCATGTTGGTTTCCTGTAAATCAATCTTTGAAGGGAACTGTCAGATTTCATTTTCAGTCAAACTTCCAAAATGTAGAATTCCTAGTTCACCTTTGATTCCGACGTGAACTGGATATCATGATAGCAGTCATTTGTTGAACTCTTTAGTTAACACTTCGATGTCGGTATCTGCGTCACATTTGATAAAAGTATCATCCATGTATCCTTGGTACATCTGAAAACTATGGATAGTGGGTTTTAACATACTAATCTGTCGACTTACCAAGAAGCAGTCTGCAAATTAACGACCCAGTGGCCACCCCATCTCTTTGTGTGTTATTGAACTTGAACTGGAGAAGGAAGGTGCATTTCTATAGTAGTTCCTTTAAGTAGTGAATCGGAACACTCACGTCTACAGCGTTATCCCCAATAAATTTGCATATAAAGCAAAAATAGTTTCAGTGAGAGGAGCGTTAGTAAAGCGAGAGATAAAACATCCAGAGATATCATTGTCTTCCAGGATACATTAATTTTATTGTTCCCTTGGGTTCCTAGTGGAACATAGGGCTTCAACTGCACGTCTCCATTTGCCACTTCTGTCTTCTGCTGTACTTTTCACCTCCATCCATGTTAGTCCATACTGTTCCAACTCCTCTTCACACGATCTCCTCCATGTCACCCTTGAACCGACATCCCACTCGCCGCTTCCCTTTCGGCCTAGTTCCACTCGAGTGATGGCCTGACGGGCGCGCGATGTCACCCAGTGGCCCCCTCAGCGAGTGTCTAATCCGTCTTTACTTTCTCCCGCATATTTGTTGGTTGGCGATTGGTTCTTGTTTTGTTTCTTCCCATAGTTTCTTGTTGGTAGTTCTTTCCGGCCCGCCCATCCGATCTTCAGTCCAGTATAGAGCGAAGACGGTTGTTGTTGATAAAGGTCTGCAACAGGCTGTTGGAAATATTCTTTGTGACACACCCGCCAAGTTTCTGATCGGTATAATAATAATAATTTAATAATGTATTTTACTTTATTCCAAAAACAGTACTTATAATACAGAATAGGAGAACTAACTTGACGTTTGTATTGAAAATCCGACTGAATTTTGTAGTTGTTGATGCTGAGTTGAGTGACGAAGATTTCCAGATTAGATTGGTTTCAGGATGGTTGATGAATGTGTTTCTCGTTCACCTTCCCGATTCTCGCTCGATTTGACATCCTCGTCCGTTCCGACTTCCTGCAGTTGAGACAATGCTCCATACATGATAAGTGAATGAAGTGACCTCTTTCAAATCCCTCCCGTTGATGGTGATTGGCCCTGGATGTTGCTGCTGTTGTTGTTGTTGTTGTTGGTTGGTCGGTTATTTTCATAACCTCCGTCTTGTCTATGTTCACCTGGAGTCCTGTCTCCGGCGGCTGCTTCTTCGACCAGTTTGTCGTTGGGTTTTCGCTTGTAAGTCTTCGATTTTGTGACAGTGACATCAGACATAAATCATCCACGCGCGAAATCCAGGTCTTCTTGGTTCTTCACATTGGTCGGTCCAGGATATCCCTGTCTTCTCGTTTCCCACTCACTGTCTGACGCATAATCCAGTTAGTCCACCACAATTAGGAACATCATTGATTGGTGATAATAAGCACCCTTGTCTGACTTCTGTGTTTACTTATTGATTCGGCGAATTCAAGTGAATCTTAAACACTATGCTGACAGAGATTATTTGTGCCAGATAGAAGGATTTTTTGTGAGGCATTCGGCAGTAGCATGATATGTTGAATTTATCATATCCAAGATTAGACATAGTGGTACGTTGTTTCTGTGCACTTTCGGGAGACCATATGCATTTCAGAAATGGCGATTGAGACTCCCAGATTTCTTTTTTATCACGTTTCTAAGTTATTTTCATTTATTTTTTAATTTATTTTTTATTTTTTAAACTTTAAACATAGACAAGACTGCCAGTTTATGTTGCGCATACTCCCGCTGGGACTTCAGTTCAAAATATGGTTCATTATTGTCAAGTGAGTTGAGCAGTAGCTTTTAGCTTTTAGCGTATTTTTATGTTAACAACAATCCCCACTTATCCCCCGCCCCGGGCAATTCCATTGATTCCATCACTTTTTGTCGCCATTTGCATTGTTTGCGTTAAGAGCATACTGTCGTTTATTATTATTATATCCATTAATTCCTAGAGTAACATAGGGCTTCAGTCGCACACGTCTCCATTGCGTTCACCTGTCTGCCAACTTTTTCACCCCGCTCCAAGTCTGTCTTCACGCTTTCATCTTCTCTTCACATGACCTCCTCTAAGTCACGCTTGCATTGATGACCAACTTGCCGCTTCCCTTTCGACTTCCACTCGAGCGATGGCTTGTCTAGTGATGTCACTTGATTGTTGGTTTCCTCAGTGTATGGCCAATTAACCTATCTCCCTTTCTACCTGCTTATTTGTTGCACAATCGATTCTTGCTTGGTTGGTTTGCGCCGAGAGATCCCTATTGCTGATATTCTCTGGCCATCTGATCTTGACAGTTTTACTGAGCTAATGCAGCTGTTGATGAAGGTCTGAAGTTTGTTTAAGATGCTCTTTATGATGCGCTGGCCAAGTCTCTGATCCGTATAGTAGCACTGACTTCACATTGGAGTTGAAAACCCGGATCTTATTTCTGATGCTGAGTGCTGTTGACCTCCACACAAACTTGAGTGTAATGAAGGCTTGTCTTGCTTTTCCGATTCATGCTTTGATATCCTCGATAGTTCCGTCCACCTGTAGTTAAAACGATGCTTCCCATGTAGGTGGGTAGGTAAAGGAGGTTGTTTCTTTCAGGTTCCTGCCATTCATGCTAACTGTTGTGTGTTGTCGTTGTTGCTGTTGCTGTTGGTCAGGAATCTTCATCACCTCTCTTTTCTTTGTGTTCACCTGAAGTCCTTCCTATCTTTGATGCTTGTTCTGACAACTTGTTGCTTTTCACTTCCACATCTTCCAGTTTGTGGGAAATCAAACATATATCATCAGTGAAGTCCAAATCCTCCAAGTTTTTTGTGTGGGTCCATTTTATGCCCGTTTCCTCGTTGCCCGGCCCGCTGTCTGTCACACTATCCAATCTACTCCAATCAGGAAAATCATTGAATATAGTAGACAGCCTTGCCTCACTCCCGTCCTCACTTTGAAGGATTCCTTTAAGTTTCCCGTTGTAGAATACCTGGCATGCAGCATTGTCGTACAACTGTTGGATGAAATATATAATTGTCGATGGTACCCCGTAGTAACGAAGTAGTTGTCGTTTATATTATGTGATATATATTTTTCCGTAACTCATTATTATGATTATTATTCCCCTGGGTTCCGAGTAGAACATAGGGCCTCAACAACACATCTACACTTTGTCCACTTTCAGCTGTCCTTTCCATCTAGGCCCAGGATCGCCCATAATCTATCATCTCCTCCGTGCTACACCATCTCCTCCATGTGATCCTCGGACGACCCAATCGTCCTTTCTCATCCGGCTTCCAGTCGAACAATTGCCTGCTTTGTGCATGATGTCATTCAACAGCCTGCTCAGTATGTATTAAATCCATCTCCACTTTCTCCTACTACATATTTGTTCATCAATCAACTCTTGATTGGTTGTTTTTTTCAGCCAGAGTTTCTTGTTACGAATTCTTTCTGGCCGGGTGGCCGGCCATTTGATCTTCAGCAAGGAGCCCATGAAGCGGGCACCTGCTGATAAATGTTTTTTGTGACATGTGGTGTAAGTTTCTGACCCATATAGAAGAAGTGACTGACGCGAAATTGACGCTAAAAATCCAAATCTGGTTGTTTATGCTGAAGTGGAGTGCAGAAGATTTTCAAACTAGTTTCAGGTTGATGAAAATGGAATCTTACCTTTCCGATTCCAATTGGGTTTGACATCTCTTCATCAGTCCCGAATGCCTGTGGTTGAAACAATGCTTCCCATAGAAGTGAAGCCAGGAGCTAACCTCTGTTAAATCTCTCCCGTTAATGGTGATTGGTAGTGCTGGTTGTTATTTCTGTTGGTTGGTTACGTTCATCACCTCCGTCTTCTCCATGTTCACCTGGAGTCCTATCTTTACCGCTTGCTGGCGTCTTTATCCAGTTTGTTGGTTTTCGGTTGCACGTCATCCAGTTTGTGAGGAATTAAACATAAATCAGTAACTCAAATGGGTATTGAAACCCTATCAATTCAATATTAAGTGTGGCTTCTATGGTTAGATTTCTGCAGATACTTTTATCAGGCTTCATATAAATCGTTTTTAAGCAATTAACGAATGAATTTCAATTCCTATTTTTTCAAGAAGTAAGTAAAGTAAAGATACCAACAGAGGTATTCAAAAAAATATCTGTGTAATATTTTATCTGATTTCATTGAGGATTTCATCATGAGCTGACGTTAGCTAGAGAACCATTGGAAAACCAGCTGCAAGTACTGGACAACTGTTTCGTCAGCCTAGTTTGGGACTCTTCATCAGTACGAACCCGCCTTCAGGGTTCGAACCCAGGACCTTCTGTTAACAAGACAGGCTCGTATAACATTAGGCCACTGAGACCCGATTAAACTGCCAGTCTATGAATTCTAACTTCTTCCAACTCACGACATAGCGCGACCCCTAAACAATGTCAGCTCATGATGAAATCCTGTAACCAATCAAATCCCTACAAACCACCACTTGAATATCAATGAGACGCTCACTGGCGACTGGCCCTATTCAGGTAGGTAGTTACCTGGGTTCCAGTGGGAAGTCGTGACCAGTAGGGTGCAGCTGGTCGGGTGTGAGGACAAATACTCGCCAGCGATGACATTGGCTAGCGGTCGCGCTATGTCATGAATAGGCAGAAGTTAGAATTAATGGACTGGCCATTGGACCAGTCAGGTCCCAGTGGCTTAATGGTATACAAGCTCGCTAGCCTTGTAACCAGAAGGTCCTGGGTTCGAACCCTGAGGGTGGATGCGTACTGATGAAGAGTCCCAAACTAGGCTGACGAAACAGCTGTCGAGTACTCCTTGTGGCTGGTTTTCCAATGGTTCTCTGACCAATATCAGTTCATGATGAAATCCTGTAACCAATCAACCAAATTCCTACAAACCAACACTTAAATACGAAATAGAAATTTTGCAATATAGATGAATTTTTGGCAAAATTAAGCTTCTGGGTGTAATATCCACTAATATTGGTCGACTACAGTATTCACCAGCTGTTGCTTTGAAATTGCTACCAGTGTAACTGTAGAAGACAAGGGATTTCGTATCTCTGCCTGACGAAATTACGTACGCCTTATCTTCAACGCATCATTTGTGCACAGATCTTCCCTTGTTGTATTACTTCTGGCCGTCCTTCGTATTGTGTTTCTATGTGATCCTATTATGTTTTGCATGCATCTCCACAGCGCTGTTGTATCATTTGCTTTCTCTGAATGACGTCAAAACTATCTCCCTGCTATTTGGTGTTTTTTATGCCGATGAATATGTCTTTATGCATATACATACTACTGATTAATTTTGTTAGTAGCACACGTCACACCAGTAGTTTGCAATTTAATTACATGCATAGCTAATGTTATAATAATATTTCACTTGTTGGAGGATTTCATCATGAGCTGACATCGGTTAGAGAACCATTGGAAAACCAGCTAGGAGTACTGGATTCATCCATCGGGGTTCGAATTTAGGACCTTCTGGTTACAAGGCGACCTCGCAGGCCCTTAAGCCACTCTGACTCGATTCACTGGGTACAGCAGGTTGAAGCTTAGGATGGTTAGTCATTGAATAAGACATTCCCAAGTGGTCGCGCTGTGTCGTCATGAATTGGCAGAAGTTAGAATGCATTATCTATTGGATCGGCTCACAGTGAACTAATGGTCTACAAGCTCACTCGGGCTGTAACCAGAAGGTACTGGATTCGAACCCCCTTGATGGATGCACACTACCGAAGCGTCGCAAACTAGGCTGACGAAACGACTGTCCAGCCAGTACTCCCTCACCAGAGTTTTCCAATGGTTCTCTAACTAATGTCAGCTCAATTTGAAATCCTCCAACCAACCAATCAAACAAAATCCCTACATAAAACCAAAACTTGATAATAGTAATAATAATAACAATATTTGACTTATTTTAGCTTCTTTTAAAAAATTATGTACTTCAGTTTATTTTTCGCATTAATTTTCTTTAACTTCCCGTCCTACAGGCTATAATGTCTGGTCGTTTTCAAAAGTATGACTATGGAAATGAGAAAAATGAAGAAATCTATGGTCAGCCTAATCCACCATTGTATAACCTATCTAAATTGAAAGTGCCTACAGTCATCTATTATGGCGGTCATGATTGGCTTGCCTCGCCTAAAGATGTTCGAAAACTTGCTAAACAAATTAGCTATACTATTTCTTCCGTAAATTATTTTCCTCAGTATAACCATATGGATTTTGTTTGGGGTTTAGATGCTGGCAAAGTGTTATATCCTTCAGTATTAGAACATTTGTCAGAAGTTTAAACAACAACAAAAAAACAAACAATCAGAAGGCATATGTTGTGCATATAGGATGGCTTTGATTTGATTGTGAATGTATTTCATTCATGCATTCATTCATTCATTCATTCATTCAATATTCTCCGGTCATTTCTTATTGCGTAATTCACTTGCAAAATTTGTAACCTGTGAACTTTTCCTTTTTGTTGTATGCGATTGTGTCTTAGAAAGGATGATTGAATTATTTGTTTTCATAATTTGATTTATTTATTTATTTTTATACAGAGAATTGTATTCAAAAGGACAATTCTTAATCATGTAGCTTAAAATCTCCAATTACTTACTATATAAAAACAAATGATATTCAGAAAACTTTATCGCCTTGTTTTTCTCTCTCTCTCTCTCAGTTACTTGTGACTCTGAAGCGGGGTGTTTAGGGTTTGCTTGCTCAAAATGTATGTCCCTGAAAAGTGTCTAGAGAAGTGATTCAATAACTCATACATTTATTATTTCCTTTATTTCTTAAAGGAACCCTCGCACTGCCCCGACCAACTAACTCGCCACTTCCCATTCGGGTTGCACTTGAGCAATGGTCTAGAAATGTAATGTCACTCACTTGATGGTGGTCTGTTTTCTTAGAGTATGGCCAAACCAATCCACCTCTATTTCTTCCTGCATATTTATTGCACAATTGGTTCCTGTTAGGTTGGTTCGCTAAATACCAGAGATTCTTGTTCCTGATCTTTTCTGGTCATCTCATCTTGAGTATTATTAGGCGAAAACGGCTGTTGAGGAAAGTCTGTAGTTTGTTCGAAGTGCCCTTCGTGACGCGGCGTGGTGCCGAGTCTCTGAGAATCATTGGTTCCGATGTATCCTAACATATGCGTGTGTTTTGAAGTACTCAATCAATAGTTGAATATCACTCATATATATTAATTAGAAATCTTAGGAAATACCTCCACCCCACCCACCAATGTAGAATTTTTCAAAACAATAAATCTGAACCTGGTTTGTACACATCTAAACCTGAGTAAATGAACGGGATTTGTTTCAGGATTTCATCATGAGCTGACATTAGTTAGAGAACCACTGGAAAACCAGCCACAAGGAGTACTGGACAGCTGTTTCGTCCCAGTTTGGGACTCTTCATCAGTACGTTATACGAGCTCGCTAGTTTTGTAACCAGAAGGTCCTGGGTTCGAACTGTTTCGGTGGATGCGTACTGATGAAGAATCCCAGACTAGGACGAAACAGCTGTCCAGTACTCCTTGTGGCTGGTTTTCCAATGGTTCTCTAACTAATGTCAGCTCATGATGAAATCCTGAAGCCAATCAAATCCCTACAAACCATCACTGGAACTGAATTTGTATTAGTAAATCATATGTGAGATCTCATTAAGCACATCAAAATGGCTCCAACGCATTGGAAACTGAGTACAGAATATATTCTTTTCGATAATTTCCTCTTCCGGCTCTACATTTATATTCATTTATACATATTTATACACAAAGAATATTTTAGAATAATCGATATTAACAGTGTTGGTGATTTTTGTCTCAATAATCTCGATTTGTTAAGATCACAATGACTGACTGACTGGTTGACTGACTAACTGGTTTCAACATAGAACTTTGCACCAATGTGCAGCAGTTCGAGTCGCCACATCTGAGTTAGCCATTGAGAACGATTTTGAGCAATATCACCAATTGTCTCCATCCTTCATTGATTTTTATCCCCTCGAGGAACCCAACCACGAAGTCTACACCTTCATATGTGGCTTAAATTAACTGTTGTGGATTTTATTGGCTGATGAAGCCATGTTTCGGTTTGACCACTAGTGGCTGTTTTCTACCCTGACCCTATGTCAGCTAACACTGCTCGTCAATCAAGGAAGGCGATGACTAGGCATGGGTAACACATGTCCTAACCATCTCAGTCGACATAGCTTCACAGCCTCGTCAATTGATTTCATCTCCTTACCTAGCCCTCGATCGACGCCTAACCTCAGTATTTCTCACCCTATTATACCACTTAACATAGGAGATAGAATGCAGACACCTATGATCAAAGACAGCTAGACAGGCTTTTCATGTCTTCCATTTTCAATGGCCATGTCTCAATCACAGCTATAAAGGAGGACGGAGCAAACTGCTGAGCAGTACACCCGCCACTTGGTTGATAGCCAGATACCACGTCTACTAAGCCAGAGACGGCGTAAACTGGCATATGCGAAACTAGCCTTCTGTGTCCGTGAGATTTCATCAGCGATCAAGCCATTGGCATTGGCTGATGCAGCTTCCCGAATAAGTGAAGTGGTCAACACACCCTACCACTTCACTCCCTTTTTCTTAACTAAGTGTGGGTCAGTGAAGTACAGTCATGTAGTATCATCTTACGATTGGCGGGAGTAAATCGCATGCCAAACAATCGCAGATTGCAGCTCAAGGTGTTCAGAAGACTCCGGATTTTCTCAGCGTCTTCACCCGGGAGGAAGGACTATATCATCTTCATATTCTAAGTCAACGAGATTATTACCTGGTAACAAGTCAATCCCCGAGTCGCTGAAGTCACTTAGGTTTAAGTCCATGAGTACAACCATGATGAAATTGAATAGAAATGGGAATAGTGAGCATTCCTGATGGACACCACTAGTTGTCACCAGTTCAGATGAAAACTTGCCATAAGCTCTCACCTGGCTGGCCGCATTAGTTCGAGTCGAATGCCTTGATTAGTGCAATGTATTCTCTCGGCGTTTCTTTCACAAGCCAAACGTCGCCATAGTACCTCCAGGTGGACGGAATCGAATGCATCTTGCAGATCAAAAAATATAATGATTGTTGGACGCCGGTAAGCATGCTTATGTTCAAGAATCTGTCGAAGGGTAAAGATATGATCAATACACCCTTTTCTTGGTCCAAAGCCTGTCTGACTTTCTCGTGTTTGTGCTTCCCGAGAAACCACTTAGTCTACGCGTGATTATTTAGCCTAGAACTATAGATACTATATTAGTCAAGCTAATCCCCCTGTTGTTATCACGGGAAGACTTGTCTCCCTCCTTGTATATGGGGATAATCAGCGGCTTACCCCAACCCGACGTGAGTTCCTCTGATTCCCTTAGTTAACGCACACAGTAAACTGTCCCCACCGTATTTAAATACCTCTGGAGTCATTCCATCAGGTCCTGCTGCTTTGCCTTGTTTCAGATTAGTGACAGCTTTAGTAACCTCAGTTAAAGACGGAGGGCCTGTATCTATATCTTATCCGAGGAGGTGTTGGATGTTTGTTAAGTTGGGCGTGGCTGTAGGCCGATTAAGCGGCTCCTCAAAGTGTTCTTTCCAACATCCTAGTTGTCTATCCTTAGAGCTGATTATGGTGCCATTTTCCTCAGGGATTGAATCACTTATCATTTGCCTTTTGCCACCTGTCTCCCTGATAAGGCTAAATAGTTGTCTAGTGCCTATGCCTTTTTCCAATGGAATTACCACAACTTAAGTAAAAGGCATAAGTTATTATAGCAAGCACATAAATGTAATAGTAAATAGAATATCAACTAAGATTAAGGAGATCACTACAACAACAGATTAAGAACCATTACGATTTTGATGGCCACGGGGATAAGGACAGTGTCTGAACCAGTTTCTTCTTCTTTTGGATACATAAATTAGGCTTTTTAATGTAGATTCCAGCAGCCAGCCTCAGCATAAAAAATATGTAGGAGACGAACTACTGAGGTGAAATTAAGCTTATTTGGCATACGGTAGATGACTTTGAAAGCAGCCTTGTTTACATCAATACGATGTATTCTGTATCTAAGAGACGAGACAGTATAGAACTAAGAATGGATTTTGTTTCTGCCTTACTTAACCAATCACCATGCAGGATGGTGTTTGGAAATCCGATAAGTTCTTATGTTCCGCCAGTCTGATTACCCCCGATCTACTAGTATGACCCATATAGTTGACCTCAGAGTCATTGCAGGATATTTTGTAAATTTAAATTATTTTGTCTAATTGAGACAACCTTCAGGGTCTTTTAATCTACAGAACTTTTGCTACCTGAGTGAGTTTGTAGGTTTGAATGCCACCACCCTAATTTCTGCTTTATTTAGAATCCTACGTTGGGTTTCAGATGTCCTCTCCTAATATGGTATAACAGTAAATGATTTATATTCTCTCTTATTTATGATAAATGTAAGTTTACATTATAGATGATTTCTTGTCTAATAACTTAATGTCTGATGGATTTAATTAACGTAATTTTCTGTGTAATGAATAAGCATGATTATTCTTCAAAATAATAGTCATAACAAGTTGCTTTGTCTATGAACCTGGTGAGAATTAAATATCTCGTCAGTGCTATCAGTTAAAGCCGTTCAAGGCAATTACCTTTTGAATAAAGAAAGAACAACAGTGGTTGGTGCAGAAAAATATGGTACCAAATGCAATTAAAAGTAAAATATTTAAGTGTTGGTTTGTAGGAATTTGGTTGATTGGTTTCAGGATTTCATCATGAGCTGATATTGGTTAGAGAACCATTGGAAAACCAGCCACAAGGAGTACTCGACAGCTGTTTCGTCCTAGTTTGGGACTCTTCAGCAGTACGCACCCACCTGTACTCGAACCCAGGACCTTCCAGTTAGAAGGCGAGCTCGTAGACCACTGAGCCACTGGGACCCGATCTAATGGTCCTTGAATTCTAACTTCTGCCAATTCACGACATAGCGCAACCTGAAAACAATCAGATCCCTACAAACCATCACTTGAATATCAATGAGATGCTCAATGGAGACTGGCCCTATTCAGGTAGGTAGTTACCTGGGTTTCTAGTGAGAAGCCGTGACCAGTAGGGTGCAGCCGGTCGAATGTGAGCACAAATACTCGCCAGCGATGAAATTGGCTAGCGGTCGCGCTATGCCGTGAATAGGCAGTAGTTAGAATTCATGGACTGGCCATTGGACCAGTCAGGTCCCAGTGGCTTAATGGTCTACGACCTCGCTAGCCTTGTAACCAGAAGGTCCTGGGATC